TAAAAAAAAGATCGAAATAAGTTATTTTTCTATAGCCTATCTAAAAAAACAACTATACTAGTACTCACCCTGACCCTAACCTTTAATAAGAAACGTTTGAAGAAATTCACGTTCTATACGTCTTGCATGGTCAAAATTAAAAAGAAAAATTGAAAATTATTTTCCTATAGCCTATCTAAAAAAAGAACTATCTTGGTACTCACTCTGCTTTTAACCTTTACTAGGGGACATTTGAAGAAATTCATACTCTATATGTCTTACACAATCTAGATCTAAAAAAAAAAAAAATTATTTTCCCATAACCCCATCTAAAAAAAAGAACTATACTAGTACTCACCCTGACCCTAACCTTTAATAGAGGACGGTTGAAGAAATTCACATTCTATACGTCTTGCATAGTCTAAATTTTTTTTAAAAATAAAAAATCAAAATAAGTTATTGTTGTGGCTGATGCTGAAATTTGGGGTCTCGATTTGAAACTATAAGCCCTGCCAAAATCCACATATACTCTTTAAATATCAAATATAGCCCTAAATCCTAACCTAACCATAAAAAAAAATTATACAAAACACACCCCAAAAAGATTTTAAAATTTCATAATAAAATAGATTCAAATTTCAGCATCAGCCAATTTCAGCATCAGCCGCGACAGTTATTTTCCTATAGCCTCATCTGAAAAAAAAAACTATGCTAGTACTCACCCTAACCCTAAACTTTAAAAGGGATGTTTGAAGAAATTCACGATTTATACGCTTTGTACGGTCTAGATTTTTTTTTAAAAAAAATTGAAATATTATTTTTCTATAGCCCCATCTATAAAAAAGAGCTATGCTAGTACTTGCCCTAACCCTAAACTTTAAAGGGGACATTTGAAGAAATTCACAATTTATATGCTTTGCATGGTCTAGATTTTTTTTTTTAAAAAAATTTGAAATGTTATTTTTTTATAGCTCTATCTATAAAGAAGAGCTATGCTAGTACTCACTCTAACCCTAACTTATAAAAGGGGATGTTTGAAAAATTCAAATTCTATATGTCTTGCCGATCTAAATTCAAAAAAAAATTAAAATAAAGTTATTATGTATAACCTAATATGAAAATGAACTATAATAGCACTTACCCTAAACCTAACGTGAAATTCTATATAGCTTGCACAATCTAGATTTAAAAAAAATAAAAAATAAAAATAAGCTATTTTTCTACAACCCTTCTATTATAAAAAAAAAAAAACTATGCCATTACTCACCCAATCGAAATTTTTATGGGGGATGCTTGGAGAAATTTAATTTTATATGACTTTCACGATTTAAATTCAAAAAATAAGTTATTTTCTGCATATCCTTAATATGAAAAAGAGCTATGTAATACTTACCCTAATCTAATCTTAAAGTAGAACACTTGGAGAAGTTTAAAAAAATAAATAAATAAATAAATAAGAAATAAGTTATTTATTTTACTTATAACATGCCTTAACATGAAAATAAGATGATACTTAACCTACTTAATTCTAATCTTTAAAAGAAATGCCTAAAAGTTCTATGCTTATTAACTCTAGTGCTAGTTAAATTAAAATTCTATGCTAAAGTAAATTTCTTGAGTAACATTAAATTACTATATAATTTGAGCATTCTCAAGTAGCTCTCTCAATGAATTTGATAAAAAATCCAACCAAACAGATGTTTTTATCGAATTCATTAAGAGGTGCTTAAAAATCCTATAGTCATACTTCATAAGTTATTATTAATCTAAGTTTTAATTTGAGCATTAATTTGCTATATCAATTTGAGATTATTACATATTATGCAAGAATAAATATGTGCTATATCAACTATTTTTTGTTAGGGCAATTTTGCTTATCATATTTCTTGCTTTTACAAACACTGCACTGACGAGAAGCACAGAACAAAGTACATATACGTTTCTTTGGTTTTTCAATTGCTGATTTTATACGCTTTTTGGAGGGGCACCCTTTCCCAATATATTTAAATGAATCCTGAACATCTAGTTGTATCGTTCTGATATCTTGATCATTTTCTGTATTTTGATCACTCTCTGTATCTTGATTATTTTTTGCAATTTGATCATCATTCAGTTCCTGTTCTATAGTTTGTTTGTTGCATTGTGCTTCCTCATGGATGCGTATCTATTCCTTAAATGTTTCTATTAAAATCTTTGAATCATTTAAAACATCGTAATTAACTACTTCTACACATTTACGGGCAAGTCCAAGCAATATCCCTTTAATTGATTGTTTGCGGCCAATCACTTTTGCTGCAGTTTGTACAGGAGGTTCAATAAGCATGGTATTCTATGAATCAGCAATATCTGAAAAAGAAGGTAAGGATGGTGTTGAACTGTTCTTTTCTAATAATTTGTTTTTAACAAATGGCTCATCAGCAACCACCGCATCTATAAATTCATCTTTGTACTAATGTCTTGGAATAAGAGAAATATGAAAAAAGGCCTTTTCAGACTGTAAAAGAACACAAAACCAATAACGGCAAACTACTCCACTATCAAATAATAAAATGCACATGCATAAATAAAATCTATTTTTTAATAGCACTACATTTTGTCCAACATGTGAATTATGTTCGATTGATTGAACATTCCAAACTTCAGCAACTAAGAAATAATCAACCCCTTCAAGAAGTTCATCAAACCATATCTGACAGAAATCATACTCAAATTCAATCGGCCCATTATCAACAACCTCTAATGTTAAATTATATAGATTCTCAAAACTAACTCTTTTGCTACAATACATTACTGTCTCATTCATTTGATCAGTATGTAACTGTAAAATTTTAGGCATCATATACTTCTGCAGAATATTATATATATTGGGGAAAAGTTGTCCAGGAACACTTGGTGTCATATATGATGCTGTCTTTTTATGCCAAGCCGCAAACTGACCAGTAAATTGTTCTTCTGCAACGTGTGATTCAATTCAGTTAAACAGGATATGAAGTTGAGTTCTTTTATTTACAGTCCGTTTGATTATACCATTTATTGATTCAGATCGTTGGGTAGACGTTATCCCTGCTGTAAAAACCTGACCTGTAAATGCTTTTGCCCAGATGTTTTACATGGATCAAGCTGTCTAAGTAGATATTCAGTTGATTCTAGAAAATTAATCATAAGTTGTTTTCAGTATTTCTCAAATATTTTTTTACATAAAATGTTTCGGGCACGATAAAATGCTTTGATAAAGTCTGCATAACGATCACCAAGAAGCTTTGCAAGCTGCTTTTCAATATTAAACCCAATGTGCCAAACACAATGGAGAAGGTAGGTATCAGGGTATATTTCGAAAACAACACTTTTAAGGCCTGGATCTGCATCAATCATAAAAGCTCTGGGCTGACTCCTGTAGCTTTAATTGTTTGCTGTAAAACCTATCTATAACTTTCACTTGTTTCATTGAGCAATATTGCCTGTGCAACAATTCGTGATTTGAAATTATTATCTACAACAGCAAAAATGCTTAATGGCAGTTTATAGATGTTGATCGCTGCTGTATTATCATTTAAAATGATATCTGCATAATGTCGCCAAAGTTCTTGTTGTTCAGGGGGTCATATAGAATACACCTTGTAATCTATTTGTTTCTGGATCAATTAATGATTGAACATACCAATCAGGATTCTT